CATCTGAAGAGCTAACATGTGCGATTGGGACCAGTAGTTGGTGGGAGGAGGAGAGAGAAGGGCTTTTCCTTCCCCCTGAATTTACTCCTCTTCCATAGTGGTTAAGAGCTATGGCTGCTAACCAAAAGGTCAGCAGTTCGAATCCACTAGATGCTCCTTGGAAACCATATGGGGCAGTTCTACTCTGTCCTGTAGGGTTGCTATGAGTTGGAATCAACTGTACAGCAACAGGTTTTGGTTTTTTTTCCACAGATGGTAAAGAACTGACTCCAAATGAAGGAAATCCCCGAATTTGAAGAAGGAGAAATTAGTGTTCCCCAGTACTCAATCCCACCAGCCCTAGGTCTGACTTCCTTCCTCTGTTACAAGCAAAAAAGACAGACTCTTTCACGAAATTTGGAGGAACTGGGGGAGAGTCCCAGGATCCACATAAGCCAAAGCAGAAGCAACACACTGGGCCCAGGAGAGACATCACATGGTCTTTTTTGCGGGTTTGTTGCCCGCCTCCACGCAGCTATGCCTGCTTCACCTAAACAGTCCTTTCTCTCACCCCAGCCCTCGGTTCCAGGAACCAACAAGGATGGAAGGACAGACAAGGAGAGAGCTAAACCATGGAAGAACGGGCATGGTGTAGCCAAGACTTAGATATCAGCCTCCCAAGGGATCTGCATGTGTTCCCATTGATTCTCCCCACATAGAGAGATGCTCCTCAGAATTTCACTTCTTCCTCAATGTTGCAAGGCTTACCAGTCCAAAAGGGGTGGTATTCAGTCTCTAGAAGCCTTATTCAGGTCCCAGAAGCCCACTGCACACGCAAGTGCATCTGGAGTGGGAGAAGGGAGACCAGAAGAGGAGGTGGAAGGACAACCAGATGCCATGTTTCTTCCTTCATCAAGATGAAAGCTTGGACAAAAGGGCAGAAGAACGTAGACAATGTTGTCTCCCTCTCATGCCTGGGGTTAGCACTGTGCCTGGCCCAAAAGTGAGACTCAAGCTGGTTGCTATGAAAACTAGATCCAACCAAAGCAAAGTGAACTCTCCAGAGGAGAGTGCCATCTCTACTCTTGCTGCACATGCTCACTTTATTCAGGAAGCCAACCTGGGGGCACCTGATGACCCTTTTCTCTCTGAACCAAAGGAGTTTAGAGGCTCCACTTTGAAAACCTCTGGACTGACTTCTCCGCCCCCCAAAATAACTAAGACTTTAACAAATGATGAATAAATGCATGAACAAATAGCTGAGTCTGGCCCTTTAAGACCATAAAGTCTACACAGGAATAAACCTCTCTCAATGTCTTGGCTGGTGAAGAGAAAAGTCACAGCCTCCCAACCTCTCTATGGAGGCAGCTGTACTTGCCAAGCACCCTTACAGCTGAGTTCGCTGAGTGATGCTCTGTTATCTGAGACCCAGTCCTAGTCCCAGTCAGGATACAGTACCTCTACTGAGCCAGCCAACTCAGCTCTGACCTTGGCTACTCACTCTTCCCTGTCCCCACCTCTGAGAGAATTGCAGGTACATGGCACAGGTAAAGAGCAAGGGCTTTAGGTCAGGCAGACCCTGTTTTGAATCCTGGCTCAGTCGTTTTGGACTGAATAACTCTGAGCAAGTTCCTCCTCTGTGTCTGTTTTCCAGGGTCACTATGAGTTGGAATCGATTTGACGGCAACAGGTTTGATTTTTTGGTTTAATAGGAGGATAATAACATCTATCTCATTGGTATTATATTACACCCATTAGAATGTAAACTCCACAAAGAGGGACTGCCAGGCTGCTCAACTCCAGGGCACTCCATTCACAGAGTAGCCTGTGTGTATGGCGCCTCCTAGCGTTGTGTATTATTACTTTCATGTAATGGTCCTGCCACAAGGAAAGGAGTTTTACCTGTCTTGTCCCTTGATTTGAGTCCCTGGGTGGTACATATGGCTAATGCACTCAGCTGCTAACTGAAAGTTTGGAGGTTTGAGTACACGCAGAGATGCCTTGGAAGAAAGACCTGCTGATCTGCTTCCAAAAAAATCAGCCAATGAAAACCCTATGGAGCACAGTTCTACTCTTACACATATGAGGTCGCCATGAGTAGGAATCAACTTGAAGGCAACTTGTAACTGGTCCCTTGATCTATACTAAGTGCCTAGAATACTGTCTGATTCACAGTAAGAGCTCAAAAAATATATGTTGAATGAATGAATAGGACCTTTGTAAGGACTTGAGGAAATAATTTCTGTAAACGACCTGGCTTTTGAGTAAATGCTTAGTAAATAGAAGTAGTTGTTATTGTTGTTGATGTTACTAGTACAATAAGAAAACCCCTTCTCCCGAGTATGGCTTTTATAAATCCTCACAGGGCTGGATGAGGGGCTTTCTCCACCAAGCCTTCAGCTCCTGCCGAGGGTCACTCATCCTCCCCCTAAGTTGCTGGAGACTTTGCCCTTCTCTCCTGGTTGACCTGGCCTGTCCCCTTCCTGCTCCAGTCCAGCTTTGACCCAAGTCTGACCTAAAGCTGCTTCAGGACAACAGGGCTGCCATCTGGCTGCCGTGGGGTGGCCATCTCATCTTTGTGTAAAAGTCAGGACTTTCCTCTTCTCTACTTTTTCTTGGCTCCCTCATTTGGCACAGGGCCCCTATTCAGTAGCCCAGTCCTACTCAAAGGCCAAAGCTCCTTCTTGGAAATGGCATAGACCTAAAAACAAGGGGCCCAAACACCTCTGCCAACAGGGACATTGCACAATGGCAGCACCGCATTCCAGGTGAAGGAAATGCAGGTCCAGAGGAGAGTCGGCATTCTTCTCTGTACTCAGGGAGGCTTCATGGATTTTTAAATTGTTTCTCATTCAAAGGGACAACTTGGTTTTGGAGATCAGATGATCCTGGCTTCATGGAGATGCTTCTCCCCACCCCAGCAGCACCACTACCACACCCACAAGGACAGTTTTTTCAGGGGGACAATAGGTGGCTGCCACTTTTGTGTAACATGAACAGTGGCAGGAAGGAACCCACCCTAGAAATAGGACCTCCCTGAATGCCTGGGATTCCACTATTAGTGATTCACTCCTTTGGCTTCAGCACCACCCACTTCCTGGCTATCTTAGAAAACACAAATTTTCCTGGGAATTAAGTTATTATTAAGTTTCAGACACCTTAAGTGAATAAATTCATTAGACATGTTTTTTCCTCCTGATAGAAGAAATATCTGGGTTCTTGGTGCATGGGGTTAGGGTGGGTCTCACAGGAATCAGAGACGGGCAACTTTGAGTCAAACTTTGTTAGTGTTACCAGGTTTCCTAGAGCCAGGCCTGCCCACACCCTCCAAAGACAGCTGGCTCTGGAGCTGTTTATTTTTATGAGTTAGTCACCAAAGGATTAAATGAGGCAACATTCACAAAGAGCCTACCTGTACCCCACATGTAATAGATACTTGACAAATGTTAGTCCCTCCTAACTTCCCATGAATGGATGGAAGATATTTGTCTTTGGGGATAGGACTGGTCCATGCCTGCCCTCATCACAGGTCAAAGAAATCAGGTTTTCCCTCTACTCCTCTTTAGAGTATGGGCGATCCTTACTCAACCAACCACTTTGCTCCACGCCCCTTTATTGTCTCTGTGGGAGAGAAAGTAGGCGAGGGTCAAGTGCATGTTTCTGAACAAATGCTCCCCGGAAACCTGGTTCCTTGGGGCCAAGGCTGTGAGAGTCTGAGAACCCTCTTGCCTTGGCGTTGATTCTATTCTGCTTCCCAGTTCTCCAAATTCCCTCCAGCAGACCCGAGATGAGGGGTGACCTAAAGCCCTTGCTCTTTACCTGTGCCATGTCTTACTCCTTTCCTAGTTCCCCAGGCCTGAATTAAGGGCCCCAGTTGTGTGCATCATGTATTCCTTTCTAAAGTACCACTTATTACCCTGAATTTTAATCACTTGTTTGCTTTCTGTCTGTCTTGCTTAACAGGTGAGATCTTGAGTTCTGGGCCATGATCTTGCTCACCACATTCCCAGTTCCTAGCTCAGGACTTAGCACATAATAGGTGGTCAAAGCACAAAATAGGTGTTCAATATATACATAGCAGGTACAAATTTTGCAAACTGCAGACTCTGGATGCTCCAAATTGGTAACTTTATTTTCCTAGGATTGAATGTGTGAGGTTTAGGTTCCCAGAAGCAGAGCCTGAGATGAGGATTTGTGGGGACTTGATTTATCAGGAAAGTGTTCCCGGGGAAATGGGTAAGGGAATTGGGAGAGCAAGGCAGGGAAGGGCAGGAAACCAAGCAAGGGAAAGTGCCACACAGGGGAGCTTCATCCTCAGCCCTCAAAGCCATCCTGCAATGAATCAAACGAACCCGGCTTCCATATTCCTGCCCCCATCAGTTATCAGTTAAGGGCAACCCCAGGGACCTCTGTGGGTGCAGGGAAAGTAAACTCCAGCAGCCCAAGGTCAATCCTCTGATAAAGAGCCTCAAGTCCTAGCTGTTAAACATGTCTCATGACTAGTAACCCCTAAATTTATATCTAAATTTTTATCTCCAGCTTAGACCACTCCACTGAACTCCAGATTCATATATTCAACTGCCTACCCAACAGCTCCATTTGTATTCTATCAGACAAAATTACTATGCCCAAAACTGAGCCCCTGATCTTCCCGTCATGTTGGTTATTCTCTACTTGCTCCTTAGTGTCTGCCCTTTGCCTTTCTACAGCCTGCTCAGTGCCTCAGGAGGACCTCTGTGGATGTCATTACCAACCTCCTTTGCCCTCTGGCTTCTAGTTACACTCAGCCAAAGGAAGGCACCAGCAGAAGGTTGGCAGCCAGGAGGAGACAGGTGAGCTCTCCCACTCCCTCCCTGCTGTGCCAGGGTTTCAGCAGTAGCTGTGCCTCTAGCTAGGGCCACAGCTCCTCTTCCGTGGTTCCATCTCTCATTGGGTTCAGGCCTAGGGATGGTAAAGACTTCCTGCTCTTGCTAGTCCCTGTGTTCCCTGTCATTTCTTACTGTCATCAGCCCTTTACTTCTCATCCACCGGGGTTGTTGTAAGAACCAAATGAGATTACAGATGTGGTTTCTTCATAAATACCTGCGGAAAAATGGGACATCTGTGAGGAAAAGCTTCCCTTTGGGAGAGGCCACGCAGATGAGGACCAAAATTAACCTGGAGATGTCACCCCGTCCACGCTCAGGCAATCCGTTCTCAAGATCCCCGGGCTCACCCTGGATGTCCAGATCCACTTTCTCCAACTGCAGTAACATTCCATCCATCTGCAGAGCAGAGATCATAAGGGATATTTATTCTCCTTTTGGTTTTTTATGGTAATTTCAGTCACCTGTTTGAGCAGTAAGAATTTCCCCTGAAAGTTTCCATATTAGCCAAACTAACTAGCAATCAATCAAGAATGAGCTACACTTTCCCAAAGAAGGACAAAAAATAAACAGAGACAAGCTTGTCCCCTTTACCCCTTGCGGTTTTGAAATTGTCTGATTCACACTTTGAAACAAAATTCTCATTATTCTCTCAATTCTGGAGGTTCTGCATAACAACAAAACAGAATATGAGAGCTAAAAGGACCTGCAGAATAAAATATTGAGTACAGCAAGCCCCCCATTTTCAGATGGGGAAATGGAAGCCCAGAAGTTGGAAGGAACTTGCCCAAGGTCACACCAGTGGCAGAGCCTGGACCAAAAACCCAGGACTCCTGGCCCCCAGGACTGGCCGCCTTCCAGTCGTTCTAAGGGCACGAGCAACTCAGCCCCATTCACGCAATTAGGGGCTTTATCCCACTGAATTTACTTGTAAGCTCGATGAGGACACGAGTGACACCTTGTTCACCATTTCGCCCCCAACCCCTGCCTCTGTGTCTGAACAGAAACTCTTTCTTGAAAGAACGAATATCCTGTGTGAAGATCTCTGTGTTCTCAGAGTCAGGCATTTTAAAATATGCTCACATCTGCCAGCCCTTATCTGTCAGTATCAATTAGGGGACCACAGCAAAGCTATCCTTGTAATAACCTCACTCCTGAGATTTGTAAGAGATATAGGTCAGATGAACATCCAGAGAAGCCTTGAAAAGAAATAAACAGAGATGGCTCCAAACAACAGCTTGGTGGGTCTGTTTTCACAGAAGGTAGCCCACTGTTCAGCAATTACTAGTTATTTATGACTGCCATTTATTGAGCATTTAACACCTACCTAGGCCTGTGTTGCATCTCAATATGCATCATCTCAGTTGATCCTTATAATAATCCTACAAGTTAGGTATTATGCTGCCTGATTTATAAATGAGTGAAATCAGGCTCAGAGAGGTTAAGCACCTTACTGAGGATCACACCACTCCTTCTGGACTTCCACATCTGCATCTGTTCCACTACACCACTGTGCCTCTTCCAAGAGTACCCTGGATTTTCTTAAACTGTCAGTTTGTAACGCCACCTGTCTTTGCCTTCCCCTCACCTGCCACAGCTCCAGCCCAAAGTTGGCATCAGGAAAAGGAGGAGATGTGGGCAAAGTGCAGGGTCCAAAGCAATCAGTCTGGTTTGTTCTGAGAAGTGGCTTTAAGCCAATAGGAGAGTTGGGGTACAAGGGGGAAGTTTGCAAGGAATGGGATGAATCCAGCCCTCAGAACATTCCTTTTCCAGCTCCTATCCCCTTGTCTATAGAACAACATTTGGACTCATAATAACAGGCCATACAAAAGGCTTTCAATTCATTATATCACTTGAGTCACTCAACAACCTTGAGATGAGGAGAGATTACAATTACCATTTTAAGACGAGGAAATAGCAGCTCAGGCAAGTTGAGTTACTTGCCCAGAGTCACACAACTGGCAAATAGAGGAGATAGATTCAAACCTGAGTTTTCTTGCACCAGGATCAGTACTTATTTCCCTATACTGAACCTTGGGAGAGAAATGTGAGAGAGGTGGATCGAATGAAACCAAAGTAGCCTTGGCATTGACCCAGCCTGATCCAAACCACAACCTTGGCCTCCACCTTTGAGCTTTGTGGGATGACTTAATTACTCTTTGTTAACACCAAGCAAGATGGCTGCCAAGCTCAAGACACACCTGGTCGTTCGGCACCTCTGAGTGTCCAAGGGCATTCTGGGAAAGGCAAGCAACCTTTGCTGGCCAGATCTGAGGGTGAGCAGAGTTCCCTTCTGGCAACAGAAAGTTGTGAGGCACATGGGCTGTCCACAGAGCAGAGTTAGGACAACGCTATGCTGACTCGGGGAGCCTGAGACCAAGCGTGCACACAGCACCCTACAGTTTTGAGGCCAACGCTGTAATATCCCACTGGTTCTAAATATCTAGAGGACACAGAAGTGGCAAAAGAGAGGGAAATAGAGGCAGCAGTTAAATTCCATTTTACAAATCCTTTAGTGCTTTTCCTGGTTAAGAGAAAGAGTGGTGTTTGGGTTCAAATCCAGGCAACACCATTTTCCGGCACTGATAGTCTGAATCTGCTTCCTCATTTGAAAACGGTGGTAGTAGCATCTTCTTCATAGGGTTGCTGGGCAAATCCAAGATACTGTATTGGACATGTCTTTATAAACTTATTATATTCCAGGCACTCGGTGCTATATATTGAGTACCTCCTTTAAATACTATCTTATCCCCATTTTATGATGAGGATACCATCTCAGAGATGGTTTGTAACATTCCCAAGGCACACAGCCAAAAAGTGGTGGGCCTAGGAAAATAAATGTCTGCCAGTATTATCAATCATTGCTCTAGCCTGGGAGCTCCTTAAACGCAGGCATCGGGACTTGGGTTTAGCTTTTAACTATGTAACATTTCAAACATACAAAAAACATGTAATATTATAAATACCTGTGTAGCAAACCCTCAGCCTAAGATAAAACATTAAAATTGAAGTCTCTACACACCTCCCTAATCCTTGACCTCCTCTCCCTTCCCAGAGAAAATCAGTCATTCATTCCACAGTGCTTATTGACTACTACACCACGCCATCAGAATGCTCCTTAGAAGAAAGGATGGTGAGACTTTGTCTCATGTAGTTTGGACATGTTATTAAGAGGGACCAGTCCTGGAGAAGGACATCATGACTGGTAAAGTAGAGGGTCAGCAAAAAAGAGGAAGACCCTCAACGTGATGGATTGACACAGTGACTGCAATAATGGGCTCAAACATAACAATTGTGAGGACGGCACAGGACTGGGCAGTGTTTCGTTCTGTTTTACAAAGGGTTGCTATGAGACAGAACTGACTCAACGGCACCTAACAACAACAACAACATGGCATGAGTGGTTTCTAGATGCTGGATTGTTTATGTATTTTTCTAAATCAGGGATTTATCATTCTCATACCTGTTTTTACACTTTTATCAGATATTTAGGTATCCATTAGCAATATTTGCTATTTGTTGGGTGTTTTGAAACTTTATATAAATGGTAAAACATTTATAAATCCTACTGAAACAGCATGTTTTGATGGTCTTGTTCTTTTTCCCTTTGAGAGAGAGAGAAACGAGAGAGAATTCTCTATTATGGTATTAGAAATAGTAGCATCAATAAATATGTGTTGAGTTGAATTGTAAAAACACACTCCTTCTGAAGAAAAGAAGAGTCTCACCTTATACCTGAACAATATCATTTTAAATGGGCTTCTTAATAATTTTAGTGGATGTCTTGGGAAGGGTTATTGAATTTGATACTGCCATCAGTTCTGGCCAAAACTCAAGCTAAGGTTACAATGAAAAATGACAGTGATAATAATTCAGCTTCACATTTTTATAGTGTGTTGTTATCATTTAAGGAATTTTCATAAACATTACTGTCTCTCAGAACCATACTATGCTAGTGGGAAGAGATTCCAGGAATCACACACTTCAGGGAACTTCGGAGTTCTTTTGAGCAGCAGATCACATTTTCTCCAAACTAAATCTCACCAGGGACGGCTCTGCTTTAAACACTAGTAGAGAGTCCAGAGCCTTCCCCCCACTCAGTCTCCTCCTCACTTTTTCTGGTCCTTGAGACAACTGTGGAGACCTAGAGCTTCAGAGAGAGAAAGGTCTGGTCCGAGCCCTTTATTTTACAGATAGGGAGAACAAGGCGAATGGAAAGGGGAAAAGGAGCTGGGATCCACTGAGTGCCTATTATGTCCCTGGCAGGTATTTTTCTCATTTAATCCTCCCAAGAGAGGAACAGAAACATCAAGTAACTTACCCAAGATCACACAGTTGTATTTTACAAGTCCATGGCAGTGCTTCTCTCACTGTTGGATTTGATCACAGACCTAAAACGGATGCAATTTTAGACACCAGGATACCCCGCCTAGCCCAGTCTCAGCTGACCTCCCAGCCCACCCCAGTCACTCTGTGTCACATCACCCTATTTGATAGCCAATTATCTTGTGTAGTTTTTTCTTACTTGCATACTTTTATCTATTTATATTTCTTTAATGCATCTGCTCCCAGAATGCAAGAGGCAGGAGATCAAAGAACTTTTCTGTGTTAATCCCCACTGTCTTCCCAACACCTAGCACCATTCTTGGCAGACAGTAGTTAATAATTTGTGGAATAATTCAATGAATGAATAAATAAAATTGACAGAGGAGAAAAAGAGGACAGGGACATCCCATGTCCCCAAGATGGCCAAAAGCCTTTGCAAGTTTATGCTAAGAAAGTCTAACAGATCCCATAAAACCAGAAAAGCACGCATTCATTCAAGTGAGCATTCTACACAGTACCAAAAACAGTGTTTTTTTAGTGATGAGAGATACATTTTCCAAGCTGAGTTATGATCTTGCTTAGTTTTTAGAATAAGCAAAAGGTCTTGGTTCTTTTTGCACCCATTATCTCTTTCATTCTTCCAGTGAGGTACACAGAGAAAGTATTACCGTCCCCATTTTATACAAGAAAAAAATCAAGGCTCAGAGCAATTAAACTGCCTGCCCAGGATCCCACAGCCAGTGAGTATGTGGCAGAGTCAGGATTCAAAATCAGTCTTCCAACTCCAAGTCCAGAGCTGCTGGTTTTGAGACAGGGAAGAATAATCAAACACTCCATCTCAGGCTCACTTCGGTTGACTGGATGGAACTTTCTGAGTTTATCTTCCAAAAGCAGGCTCAGCTCAAAGTGACATCTGTGACCTTATAAGATGCAGTTGGGTGAAGATGTGACTACTCTGCCACTTCCACCCTCTCCTCCAACCCAGCAGGTCAGGACTTCAACAAAAACGTGATGTGAAGAATCTGCCTGAAGCCCCTTCTCCTATTCCTAGTGGTGCCCTGTCTGCTCCCTTCCAGCCCCCTGGCCGAGGTCCCCAGGCCCTCTTGATGATCCATAGGAGCCACTAACACCAGTTTTCCTTTCTCGCCCCCTAGTGCATGCCTTCAGTCCATTTGTCTCACACCCTGACCCCTGCTCCCTGAAGGTACTCTAGTGTAATCCATGAGACTACTTATTACCTTAATGTACTTTAAATATGCATATCTTTAAGGTAGCACACAAGAAGTGACACTAATGGTGGAAATTTTAGGTGCCAAAATAGACCAGTGAGAGAGATATTTGTAGAGAAGAAAAAAAATTTTTTTTTTATTGTACTTCAGGTGAAGGCTTACAGAACAAATAGTTTCTCATGAAACAGTAGTACACACGTTGTTTTATGACATTGGTTAACAACCCCACAACATGTCAACCCTCTAACTTCTCAACTTTTTTTTTTTTTTGGTGAAAATACACACAGCCAAAGATACACCATTTCAAAAATTTCTACATGCACAGTTCAGTGACATCAACTACGCTCTTCCAATTGTGCTGCTATTCTCACTTAAGATGAAGGCTTACAGAACAAAATAGTTTCTCATTAACAGTTACTACACATGTTGCCCTATGACAATGGTTAACAATCTCACAACACATCAACAATATCCTGACTCAACCTTGGGTTCCCTATCACCAGCTTCCCTGTCCCCTTCTGCCTTCTGGCCCTTGTCACTGGACTCCTGTACCTCATTAGTCCCATTTGGTTTTACGGGGCTGTCCACTCCCAGGCTGAACGGTGAACCTTGGAGATAACTTCACCACTGAGCTAAAAGGGTGTCTGGGGGCCATACTCTCGGGGTTTCTCCAGTCTCCTTTAGGCCAGTAAATCTGGTCTTTTTTTTTTTGTGAGTTAGAATTATGTTCTACATCCAAGAAGAAAATATTTTGCTGATTGTCTGACGATACAACACAGATATCTAGGTTATGATTCCAAATCCTTTAATATGCCATGTGTTCAGATTCGCATCTGAGGAGTTCTAGGGTCTGTGTCCTCAGGGGCTTTCACGGTGGGAAAGGAAGATTAAGAGGGTAGGCTCACCCCAACTTGGATTCAAAGCACTTCCTCTTTTTACAATGAGTGATAGAAATAGTAAGTGCTCAATAAGTATTGTAAGTGCTCACCAAGTATTCCAAGTGCTCCCCTATATTTCCCAGCTTGCCTTACAGCTAGGTTGGGGCCATGTGACTAGCTCTGACCATGGACTGTGAACATGAGTGGTGTGTGATGCTCCTGAGATGAAGCAGTTAATGGCTAATGTGCCCCCTCTATCTCCCTCTTCCCCTGCCTCATTGACTTAACTGGGACATTTGGGAAGGTCATTTGTTCTAGATGCTGAACTTATAAGGGGAGGACAGCCACCCAGCCTGCATCAGATATTTGGTGAGTGTGACATCAGTGTTTACTGCATTGAGTCACTGAAATTTTAGGGTTATTTATTAATGCAGAGTAGCAGAGACTATCGTGATTAATAAACCATGTAAGATGACATTTGAACAAAGTGATTGGGCTGAATATGACTCTTTCTCATTCCCTGTAACTCAGGAGCTAGAAAACAAAAATCAACACTTCCCAGACACCCCTGAAGGCAAGGTTATGGAAACAAATTAGGTTTCCTCAATAACGCCCTTATGTGAGACAACTATATATAGGAACATGAGTTTTTAGAGGTATTTCAGCAGTTGGAATCCTCATGCCAGTGTCCAGTCCCCAGCTTCATGGGTGTGAGAGGCACTTGTGCTGAAATCAGTGGGGCAGCAGCTTCTTGATCAGCGACAGTGGTATGACTTGGAAATAGTGCAGTGGTACCCTCCAGACTTCCACTCCTCCAGGCCCTAAAATAGTCTGTAAGCTTCTCATTCCCTGAATTCAATCCGTTTCTGCTTGAAATACCTAGAGTAGTGTCTATTTCCTTCACTAAACTGACTGGAGCCCTGGTAGTATAGTGGTTAAAGAGCTCGGCTGTTAACCAAAAGGTCAGCAGTTTGAATTCACTCACCAGCTGCTCCTTTCAAACTCTATAAGGCAGTTCTACTCTGTCTTATAGGGTTGCTGTGAGTTGGAATCAACTCAACAGCAATGGGTTTTTGGTTTAAACTCTGACTGAATCCATATTGTATTGAAAAGTCTGAAAACCTTCCAAAAAAGATAGAAACAAGTAAAATAATCTGGAGTATTCCAAAGACTCAAACCTAGAAAAAGGCAGATTCTCTGAGATATCAGAAATTTGGAGAAAAATTGTGGTAGGATAGATTTTCATAAAATCATTAATTCATTTAAAAAACATAACATCAATGATTTAATACAGACCGCACACAGGACCAGAGCCCTGGTGGTGCAGCGGTTCAGAGCTCGACTGCTAACCAAAAGGTCAGCAGTTCAAATCCGCCAGCTTCTTTGAAACCCTATGGAGCAGTTCTACTCTGTCCAATAGGGTTGCTCTGAGTCGGAACACACAGTACGGTTGAAGATGTGGAGGAGGTCCAGAGAATCCAAGTCCCTTCCCAAGGTGATACAGCCAGGTAGAACTGTGGTTCAAATTGAGGTTCCCTGAGATTCTAACCAATGTTCTTCTGTCATATAATGGCAGCTTTGAGTTCTGGTAAAGAATGTAAGGTTCACCTGCATGAACCATCAGGGCCTACCTGGGTATTAAGAGGACTGTGGAACCGGCTATTTGGAGCAGGGGAGGGTTTACCACATGTTCACAGTATCGGGAGATTGTAAAAGACATGCTTGAAATAAAATCTAATGATCAGTATTCACTTTTATGGTATGGTTTATAAAAATATAGAGTCCTCATAAAGAGCAGCCACTGCCAACCAAAAGCCTGTTAAATACCTAGAGATTTTATTTCAGAGCTAACGACCTGGGTTCCTCATACCACCCCACTAATGATGCCCTATGTGACCTTGAGTCTCTTGCTTAAACTTCTTGTGCCTCATTTTCTCTGCCTGTAAAACGTGATAATGACACTAGCCACTGGATCATGTGGGGACCATGCTTGGCGATCCCCAGATCAAAGGTGCTTGGCCTGGACCAAACAAGATAATGATGGTGCTCACCATCATTAGTGTTGTTGTTATTATTATTGTTGTTGTTGTTGGGAGTGGCTATGTTTAAGCTCAGGAAGACATGACTCCCGTGTCTGATTCAACACCAGAACAGAATGAGGAGGCATTTTGCACTGCAGAAGCCGTTGATGTAGAATCCACACCTTACACTGACATCACATAAGGACACATTCTAGGCTCCCCAGGTGGTGTGAGGCAAACCCTCCTTTAAAGTAGGGCCATGGCTAGAGCCTCTCCAAGAGATAAATATCTATCTTTAGGGGAAGATCAGTGAGGAAGATCCCGTTATTTCCTTGGTGATATGGTCCCCCAATTTCTCATAGCCAACTAAAGAGCCCTGGGGTCACAGCCAGGGTTGACTTTAGGTTCATGTCCTAGCTCTATCACCTAATGCCCTTGAACATGACCCTTAATTTCTCAGGATCTCCATTCTTTAAATATTAAATCAATTCCCGGTCTCTTAGTTCTATATTCAGTTACCCTCATATTCTCTCTATAAATCATGACAGGGGACACTACCCACAGAAGTTCTTCCCTGGTGCATTTCTCCACAGCTTAATGACAGTATCAGTCACTCTCACTGCTCTTCCAACAGACCACTGGCCCCGGGCCCATACTCGAGCACTAATGTCCTAAGTCTGGGACAAGTAAACATACTGGACTTGTTTTGAAATTTACCAGCAAACTAGAAACTCAAAAGACAAAGTCAAATTCCATGTACTGATAAACACAGATTGATTTAAATCAGTGATTTTCAAAATATGTTCATGGGAGATCATCACCTTCCTTTATGTGACCTGTGTACAAAAGGTGCCCCATTTGGGTGGATGATTTTGAAAAGAAACTTCCTCTAGATGCATGCTGCTCTG